CTGGCACTTCTAAGAAGCCAGTGCCCATTAGAACCACAATGTGATGGAGGATCAATACCAACTTAAAGGGAAGAATGCCTTTTTCAGAACCATAACTGATATTTCCTGCAGTGGTGAGTGTTCCCCCAAGGGCTGTGAGCCAGGGCCCTAACCTTCTTCTACTAACTCCAGAATCATAACAACTGCTGGCTGAAATATTCCCCCCATTAAATGCCAAGGCACACGTATTTATATTTAGTTTTCCCCAAGTTTCCTGTATCTTTTGTGCAATGCAAATGTTACTGCAGGATGGTGGAGTTTGGTGGGGGTTTTTTTGTTTTTTGTTTTGTCTTTCTGTTTCTGTTTTTAGCTTTCTTTGTCATCCAAATCTCTGCTCTGCCAAAGGTCCTGTGGCTATTCTGGATATGGTTGATAGCCTTGATTGTTAAGCCAGTAGGATTTAAAAGTTACTCAGTTTTCAACTTTTCATTCAGTTTCAGGGAATAGTTGCCCTCCAGATCAATCTTTATAGTAAGACTCAAATGAGGTATTACATTGAATTACATTGAAATAAAGAATCTTTTTACCTTAAAGGAAAATAGCATGTATTCTTACCCTAAACACCCCAGAAATACAGCTACAAGATGAATGAATTAGATCCACTTACTGACCTGGTGCTAAGAATGGCAACTGGTTCTTTGCCTGTCATTAACACCATCACCAGTGGCCCTGGATATTGGCAGGAATCCCAGATATTTCATACATAGCCATCAATTATAATGTCCTGATGGAATTTGATTCACAAAATAGTGCAAACATACTCCCTTTGAAGAATTAAACAATCACCTTTCTTTGCCTTAGTATTTTTTAGTTTTCATTATTAAATGTGTATTGGTAGATTTTGGGGAAATAGAAATGCTTCTCCTTCTGCCCAGCTTTACTTTCATTGGCTGCATGTTTGTCATCTTGTATTTGCAACTAATTTAGTATGTAAAGAATGAGCCCACTGACATAATTTATTTATGCCTTTGAACATCTATGTAGAACACCCACGTAGAGTTCCCTCTGATTTACAGGGCTGTCATCTCTCTCTTTTGGAAGTCAACCATTTAGAAATGAAGTACTTATATTTGCATGGAATTTAGGTCTACAATTCAACCCACACAAATTCACCAACACAAACTTAAAATAATAGTTATAGTAAAATATAACTGACCTTAAATCAATATTTTATTAAGATTTTTCTATAAAATTGAATTTCCAACTTGAGAGCTTTTTCTCCCTGAAATCATTTTCTCCGTGGTGGAATAGATGACTCTTCTTTCTCAGCTATTTAACCACTTAAGATGTGGCTCCCTGAATTCCACAGTTTTGCTCTCCCAGTGGCTGGGAACAAAGTGAAAAGGCACTAAGGGCTAGGACCCAGGCTTTGGGGGTGCTGAGAGGTAAATGTGAATCCTGGGTATAAAAGCTGTAGTCTAGGAACGCCTGAGCTGTCTGCTTATCCTGTAAGAAGGTCTAATGCAAGGTCATTATTTCTTCTGAGACCTCAGGAATGGCCTCTTTCCTTTTTGTGTCATTTTATCTGTTGTTTCTCATGAAAGATTTTCTACCTGAAATCGCAGAGGAGTTAAATACCAGCTTAGCATTCTCTCATCCTTTAGTCCCTGAAGCAAGCCTACAGCTATCTGAGCTTCTCAAAGAGTACAAATGCTCTTGCTTGCATTGGCCCACCCATTGTTACTCACCTAAGCCTCTAAAGAAACTCAAAGACCAAATACTGAAAGAAAAACCCGGGTCTGCTGGGCGTTTCATCCTTGGATCTGGTATAGATTCAACAGAGGAGAACCAAGATGTCCAAATGGATACACAGTACTTACTTTCAAGAACACATTAATGATCTTAACAAGAAATGATTTGAGAAGAGTGAAGGATCTAAAGCATGACTAGTGTGAGTTCAAAAGAAAAATGAGCAAGAAAGAATCCGGAATAAGCATGGATAATTCTCCCTAGACGTTTTGCTATGATGGGAGCCAAGATTTGAGGTGATAGCTGGAGAAAAGTGGTTGTTTGGGTTTTTAGTGTTGTTTTGCTTTGCTTTGATTTTCTTTCAAGATCAGGGTTATCACAATGGACCTGAACACAGCAGAGAGCAGGAAGAACCAGGGGGAGAAGAAAGCTTCACAGTGTGGCAGGGGCAGTGTATCTGCCAGGGAAGAAACTGCAATAGTGCACATCGCAGAGTTTGTCCTGCGATGTCCTGTCCCTTAATCCAGAAGAGTTTGTCCTGCGACGTCCTGTCCCTTAATCCAGAAGCCCGGGCTTCTAGGATTAAGAGGAGGGGAGGAATTTATGTGTGTGTGCTCTATGGCAGTAACAAGGTTCTCTTTGCTACTACGAACGAGTTGCAGGAGAGTGCAGGAGATCGTATTCGGGGTTTGAAAAGAGAAACTGAAATAGCTCTGGATGCGAATGGAAGAATAGATTAAGGAATTAGAGTGGGATCTAGGTCATGTTTGAAGTTCACAGTCATGAATTAAAGTGAGAACATAGCAAATAGGATGCTGTGTGTGACCTTGGAATACTGCGGTAAGGCAGTTTACACAGGTATGAAGTTACTGTGAAGATCCAATGTGTCAGAAAGTATTCCAGATGATCAGTACAAGACATCATTGTGAAACTGCTTTGAATTACTTTTCTTTGGCAAAAAGCTTTTCAGATTTCTTTAAATTGACCTTACTGTCTCTAGAGAGAGTATTTGGCTTCTGCCATTGACTTAGTAACTGACTCTGAGCAACTGACTTAACTAACTTTGGCTTTTACCCCGCAGTTGATAAAGTGAGGGTGGTATTGTTTAAAGTGCAGCAAATGCATCATGAGTAAAGTGTTTCCAGAATCCACACTGTTCATAAGATGGTATTAGCCCTCACTGGTGCAGTCACTGGAAAGTCAGAAAGCCTTTGAAGAGCCCCAAAGCCTTAGCGGGGAGGTGCCTTGCTTAGTCAGGAAAGAGGCAAGAAAGGAAACCTTACATTCTAACCTTCATCATTAGAGACAAAATAATCTCGACGCATCTCCATATCCTGCTCAAATGCCTTGAGGTCTAACCCACATTGTTTCCCTTAATCCTCGTAGCCTCTCTTTAAGGTTGACTATATTCGAATCTGAGAGTCAGAGAGGTTGATCACCTGTTAAAAGTTGGATTTCATCCCACATTTACATTAAAATCTCACGTGCTTTTGTGTTTTATATTTCAGGTCCGTAGCTTAGTCAACCTAATCTTTTTTCTGTGATCCTCTGTCCAGTAGTAGAATAAACTAGTTTCTTGAAGATATCATGATGGAATAGTTTACAGAAAATCATATGAAAAGAAATGATAGGATCATTTGGAGAGGGAGCAGTAACCTGACTAAAACTCGGCATTTAACCGAAAATTCACTTCCCACACCCTTTTGGGGAAAGGAGGGTAGGTACTAGAAAAAACTAATTGTGGTCACTGAAACTGCAGAGCTACTGTGTCCTCTGTGCCATTTCCTGTATACATACTGTGCACATTATAAGCTACAGCACATAAACTGCTCTAAGAGAAAAATCACTGTTCTATTAGATTTTCATTTTTGAGTAACAATTGCCCGCCTGATACAGAAAATGATAAGAAAAGTATATTTATTTTCTTCCAGCAGCTCAAAGGTGATCATGCTTCTAAAATTTGTTGAGATTGTCCAAGAAACTGTGTAAAATACTCATCCATCACTGCAAGCCCCTGGTCAGGAAATGACAGTGCAGTAAATATCTTCAGCAGCCACCTTTCAATGTACAAGCTGTTTTCGGTTAGAATTTTCAGCACTCACATAAAACACACTGTCATGAGTGACTGCTTGTGCTCCAAAGTCATTACTATTGGGATAATGGAACATCTCTCAGCGAATAACCAAAAAACTTTAAATGTCATATCAAGTTTGTTGAAGCCATTTTAAGCCCTGTTCAAGGTTACATGAATATTGAGGGTATGTTTTATAAAACTTTTGAGATCTATGAGAGATCGTTCATGATATTGTGCAATATGGAAGTCATTTAATTAAAATAAACCAAATTTAGATCTCTTTAGAAAAGTTAACCAACCAGAACCATTGAATCATTAGGTATTGCAAACTGCCTTGAAAGGGAGATCACCATCACTTACAGTAGGTAGGTCTGTGCACTTGGTAATTTGATTATGACTTCATTCTGGATCGCTAGAAAGTTGTAACATTTTGCCTGTTAAATTCATTTATTCCTTTTAAGGGAAATTATTGACTTCTAAATTTTTTTATTAGAAACTTTCCATGTTTTCTTACAAAATGGTTAATTCCTCTTAGTATTTGCACTTCGGTCATAATGTGGGCAGAAAATTTCTTTACTCAGCATATATTAATTGAACATTTACTTTGTAGCAAAGTAATTTCAGGATGCATATAACAATCTTTAAAACAGTGTTGCTTGTGTCTCACAGCATGCATACTAGTAAAGAGAAAGACAGTGGACAAATAAATGGAATATGTGATGTTTCTTCTAGCCATGAATTTCATAAAATAAAAAATGAAGGTAAGGTAAGAGCACCATGAGAAAGATAGGTGCTAAGATGAATGGTCAGGGACCACCTCTGTTTACCTGGTGCATAAGAAGAAACCTCACTGGTAAATGGAATCAAACCGTGATAATAACCTATAACGGGCATTTCAGGCATAAACTAAGAAGGTAATACGTGTAATTGCTAATGGAATGCTTTTTTATTATATTTCTGTTTATTCGTAGCCCCTGATGTATATTTTGAATACACTTTTCTTTTAGTCTACCTAAGGCAGTGGTGACAAAGTGTGCCACAGCGGGCTATTGTATCACTGAAAGTTCTAAAAGATTCACCATCACTGATCTAAGAGGGCTTGTTTATTAAGAATAACTTTTAAATTTATGTTTTATAATGGGCCCAGTCCTTGGTTATCAAAGTGACATGTTTTATGTTTCTTTCTTCGTTACTGTAGAAAATCAGAACGTGCAGTTGACAGAAGGGTCATGTTCACACTACGATATCAATCGCAACTCCACAAGGACTGCAGTCACCAAGGAACTTAATTATAATCTAGACACTCGTACGTCTACAGGGAGGATCAAGGCAGTGGAGAAGAAGGAAGCCTGTGCTGTGGAGAGCAGCAGAAAAAAGGAAATGGAACTTCTTGGCTCTGTTTCTAAAAATGAATCCATTCCCGAAGTTGAAGCCCTGCTGGCAAGATTACGAGCTTTATAAATTAGACGGGTAAAAAGTCATTAAGCCAAATATAAAGCCACACGCTAAGCTATAACACTTGAAAAAAATGCCTTTATATGTGACCTTATATAGTTTTAAATTATGATATATATTAGAAAAATAAAGCTAAACACATAATTGCAATGCTTTTTCTACATATGTGAAATTTTGGCTTATTCAAAATTATAATGGGCATTACTGCTGTTTTTGGTCTCTTGGTGTTCATCTGTTCTATATTTGGTGGTTAAATTATACACATTAGAGAGCAGATAGGTGCCCATTTATTCACAATATGAGCTAAAGAAAACCATCTTTCTAAGTCACTGTAATTTTTGCTTCTTGGACATTAACAAATGTCAAATCATCAGCCTGCTGTCCTGCTACTAACCATGTATATTCCCTGTTTACTGTTCATACATTCCTAGGTGTCTCCAATAACATAAAAGCCATCGTTTTATATTTCAGAACTATAATGAAATGACTGATACATTCTTTATCATCTCTGTTGAATTTACATGAACTTGACCTTGTAACAGATTATGAAAGAACTTGAGTGCACTGCTGAAAATGACACACAGCAATGTGTATGCACTTTTTTTGCTAAACATATGTGTTTTTGTATCCAGTGGGTATGTGTGTGTGTATATATATATATACATATATATATATATAGTATTACAGGGCTGTTTAAAATTTAGTCTTAGCCAAGAGATTACCCCATCATCCCCACCCCAGGAATTATGACTTCAGATTAAAGTGGTGGTTTTGAAACTTTCCAAGTAACACATTTTTTTATTTCTGTGAATAAACTTGAAATTTCAGTTTCCTTGATCTGACAATCAGTTACTAGATCTACATAAAAGATTCAAGGAAAGTTTTCCTATGCAAATATTACACTGTACCTCGTTTCGGCATCATTCCTTTGTTAATTCCATGTCAAAGAAAATAAACTTGCTACTTGCACTACCTGAAAAAAGTGCGTTCTTCCCTTCCTCCTTCACGTACTGTAAGAATAAGCTGGAGACGGCTTATGCTGCGTAGTCTGAGTGTTGCTTTGCTTTGTTGTAATGAGTAAATGAAGGCTCTTTTACTGGTGGTTAAAAAGCAGTTTTGTGAAACTAGCCTGGTGAGGTTTACTGCTTTTTATTTTCTTATTTAAATTGCCTCCTCCATTCAGCTTCAAGTTAATAAAATTAATTAATTAGAACTATGAACCAGGACCTGTTTATAGACCTTGGGGAACAGGTTTTATCCATAGCCAATGTGAGAAATAAATTTGTTCCTGTGTGTATAACTGCATTTTGGCCTTCAGTTGCAAATCCTATTCCCCTCTAACAAAAAAATAAAAATAAAAACCAAGAAAGATGAACGATATTTACACATTAAACAGAGAGAAGCCATAAGAGCAAGGCAGAACTGTTTTTGATGAAAAGTAAAATGAAAGAATTCTAAATAATCTGTTCTTAACATGACTTTACAAAGACTTGAGTTTTTCAGAAAGAAAAGTTAAATGTAACCAGATAGTTTCGGACACACCAGCTACAAGTAAACACTCTGAATCCTTGGGGCTGCCAAGCAGCCACAGGGGAGAAGCAGCCCTGTGCATAAACATAAAGGAAGTAGCGATGACACAGATTCCCAGGGGCAGAGGAAGGCAGGAGAGCCCAAAAACAAAGCCGTCAGGCCCCACAGCATCTGTCTACAGCAACTTCAGGACAGCCTGGGACAAAGCCCAGTGCCAGGGCCAGCAGCCCGAGAGCAGCTCTGGCTTCCTGCAGGCCAGCAGGCAGCACTCCCTTTGGCGGATGGCTGGAGCTGGCTCAGCTCAGGCCTGAAAGGAAGCACTCACAGCTGTGGAGAGGAAAACCCAAGTGAAAGATTAACTGCCTATTCCAGGAACTCATTTCCTGTTAGAGATATTTCCTTGGTATAGCCCCTTTAACAAAGGGCTGAGCGTTAGGTTTTAAAACTCCTAATATTCCTTTAGTCAGTTGTAAATAAAAATAGCAATAAAAAACAATAGCAGTGACCTTGGATTTGATTTTATGTTTCTGAGCAACCAAAGTTTGTTCCTTGGGATTAGCAGGTATGATGGTTAATTTTTTGTGTCAACTTGACTGGGATAGAGGATACCCCAGATAACTGGTAAAACATTATTCGGTGAGTTTCTCTGGGAGAGATGAGCACTGGAATCAATAAACTGAATAAAGAAAGTATGCACCGTCCAGATTGTGGTGGGTAAAAATAATGAACAAAAACTCAGAGGAAAAGTGAATTTCTCTGCTTGAGCAGGGACAGCTGTCATATCCAACCCTTGGACCCGAAGTTTTCCTGGACTCTTCATAATATCTTTCTATGTACCTATACATATTCAGTTATTTGTTTTTCTAATTCAGTAGGTAAATGCCCAATTCAAAAACATGTGCTAGAGCTTGGTGCTCTTGACAAGGAGATTCTAAGCCAGTGACAAATCCCTGATAGATTTCCTCCCGGTTCTCACAGCACAGTAAAAAATTTGACTGAAACACACAGATAATTGTTCAATGAGTTATCCAAAAGCAAAGACATGCTGCTAACTTTTCTGTCAAATATTTAAAGTAGTTTTAAAATAAGAAAAGCACTCATTATATATGTCTTTTTCAAACACAATTGCTTATTTGGATGAAAGATACCCAAAAATCTAGTGTTTAATAGGGTACTAGTAAAACATTCAGATGGATTAGATCCCATCATTTGTGATGTGGGAGAACTGGAGGATGTTATCTTAAGTGAGGTAAGCCAAGCACAAAACGACCAGCAAAGTATGATCTCACGCATATATGAAATCTAAAAAATGTTGATTTCATAGAAGCTGAGAGTAAAACTGGTTACCAGAGGCTGGACAGAGTAGCAGGGAAGGGATGCATAAAGGTTATCAATGCATACTAAGTTACAGTTAGCAGAAATAAATGCTGATGTCCCATTGCTGAGACCCAATACCCAACACCCACAATGTAAAGGTATGAGGTTTAATTTGGCTCATGATTTCCAGGCATTCAGTCCCTGGTATGCTAGCTCCAAAGTAGAAGCATCATGGCAGGAGTGGTAGAATAAAGATGCTTAGCTCATGGCAGCTAGGAAGGGCATCAGTGTCAGAGAGAAAAGAGACCAGGGAACAGATACAGTACTGAGGTCACTCCACGACTCGCCTAAAAATACCCAGAAGTGTGCTTAGTAATCCACTGGGCAGCTCTCAAGCCAGTCAAGCTAACACAGTTAAACCCAACCACCACATCTACTGAATAGTATGGGCTGCAGTGTGTGTGGTGGGGCGGGGGGAATGCTATGGTGTTGGTGGAGATGTAAAGCAGTACAGCCATGGAAATCAGTATGGGAATTCCTCGAAGAACTAAATTAGAAATTTCATATGACCCAGTTATCCCCATGCTGTGTGTCTTCACTAAAGAGCTAAAGATAACTTACTCAGGCTATACATGCATACCAGTGTTTATAGCAACACAATTCATAATAGCTAAATCCTGGATTGCTTTTTATTTTAAAATGCCATAAGCCAATGTCGCTCTGAGTTTATTTTGTAGTTAAAAACTAAATTATTTTGCCTGTTATATACATCTGTGCTACATACAATTACTGAATGTATTGAATTCGTTTACATAAATGCATGAATAAATAGTGGAAGCACTTTTGTTTTGGGTGGTCTGTGCTGTTTTGTTTTGTTTTGTTTTGTTTTGTTTATGAAACAGGGTCTCCCTAAGTCGCTTAGTTGTCCAGGTCAGGGTCAAACTTGTAATTACTCCTACCTCAGCCTCCTGTACCTGGCTTGATAATTTTGTGGGTAAATTTTTGTTCACACTGTGCCATACGATTTTGAGAAACTAACAGGTCCTAATATATAAACTGCTAATTTGACCAAAAACCAGAAGGGACATTTAGTTTCATATTATTGCAAGTTTTGAAATCCAGGAACTACAGCAAGCAGTGACCTAGCAGTTAATCCAGATTTCATATCTGGTGAATGTTACATGGTAGCTATTACACATCCTTGCAAGATAGACCTATTCTTAAAATATGTCCAAGGTCCAAATGTTCCGCCATTTTGTTCCAAGAGCTACTATTCAGCAAAACAGGTTAAGTTGCCAAAGAACCACAGAGACTGGACAGTATTTCAGAACTAAATCCAAATTTCTCCATAAAATGAAAATACTAGAACCTTGATCCGTAACACCTCATTATTTCTAAACACATTGTGCCATTTAAAGTGGATAAGGGAACATTAAACATTGGGTGGGGAGGAGTCTGAGGTATAACAAAAGTCAGTTGTGCCCTCTAATTAGGGTTTAACTATAGTGGCTTCTTTGCTTCCCATGCCACTAATTATATTAGTGTCATATTTTATCTCAGTAGCCTCCCTTCAGGCAGCTGCAAGGACTTAAAAGGAGTCTTGGCTTTTTGCAGGAAACCTTAAATGACATTTATTCCCTCTACCATCCTTTGTGAAGTCCCAACCATTGGACAAAAGTGTTTTAAAGGCCCCAGATAATGCCTCCTTAAGATTAATATTACCAACAGTCCCTATGTTCCCAGAGTTACATTAATACAGATTTCTTGTTTGAAATTAATTCTTTAAAGGCATTCTGATGGTAGAATTGGAGGCCAAATTTTGGGATTATCTCTTCAGGGCAGATGATCCATTTTCTTTTACAACAGCCTTTTAAAGTATGTTAGTAGGTATTATGTTCCGAAACTTTTTTTGACAATATTCCAAGGTTGAGATTTTACATTTTTCTTTCAGCATTTTTATCCTGTGTTATGCTTGAACTATAAGTGCATGTCTAAAAAATTCTATTTTATTTTCTAACTATGGGTTAATAAAATGTACTTTAAAGATGAATTTTCGGTGAAAGTCTATCCGATTTTAAGATAGTCTGAGTAGGTGTGAGCATTAGTCAAATACGAGACCTATACTAGGAAGTCATAATAAAATAATTAGATTGAACAGACTGGAATAAGTATTCTGGTAAATTATTTCTTGAGAGCATGACTAAGTCCTCAAATATGTATAAACCAGTTAATTCCTCCGCAAAGTGCCTGTCTGCTTTCTCACAGACACGTCTCCTTCTGATAGAATAGACTCATCACTACATCAAAAAACAGATGATTGACCATAAGTATTTATTAACATGTACATTTAATATGATTAGCATCTACTGAAGCAAAGACAATTATGTACACATATATTAGCATACAGAAACACCTATTTACATAGTTCATAATTATTTCCTTTCAAACTTTAATATGTAAAGCACTCTATTAAGATACGTCAAAAATAGGCAACAAATACTTAAGACTTCCTAATTAAAGTACCCAATCCATCAGGGAAGCTTGATTTTAAAACGGAATATATCTTTCCTTCTTTTATTTCAGACACAAGTATTTGGCCCTTCAATGAGAAATCACCTAGGTGCCTAATAAAAGCAAGTGTCTCTCCAGCCTGAAGAAAATGACACTTTTTGAAGGACCTCATCGCCAATTCTTTCCTTTCCTTAATGGCCCACCAAGAGTCATCTTGATGAGTGTAAGAGGCATGACTGGCGTCCCACACCTGTGGTCTGCCCAGAGCATAAGAGTCCAATTTGACTGATAATAAATAAAATCTTGTCATACTATTACAGGATGTTTGGCAAGGACAAGAATTAAGGCACCTTTATCACTCCCAAAGGAATTTGGTGATATTTCTAATGTGGTCTCACACATCATCCTGTCCTGCCTGACCTTCCTTGTATCATACTCCTGAATTATAGCTGGTATCAGCTACCCTCTCCTCCTTCCTCAGCCTCTCCCCAGGACAAAGGATTACTGATCTGAACAAAATAAATGTGGGGTTTTTTTCTTTTGTAAAAAAAATCTTTGTTAAAAAAATAAAGTAGGTTAAAATGATTTGGAAGCCACTCAATATGTTTTCTGTGGAACATTTACTACCTTCATAAGGTTGAATGGACTGTCTCATTTTATGAAAGGAAACTGACGGTCTCTAAGAAAATAAAGGACCTCCCTCTAGAAGTGTTCAGCCTCATTCCTTAAGCATTTCTGGATCCCTCTGTGTTGAGAAATGTGTACTCAATTCCACCATTCCAACATTAAGCCCCTTTTTCCTGAAACCATGAATCCACCTAGAAAAGGAACTTCATGAATCCACCTAGAAAAGAGTTTCCTTGATGTTGTAATAGCTTCTCTGCTACTCTCCAGGGAAGCTGAACAACAGTCTGATGAGTCAAAGAAGACACACACATATATAGGAACAAGCACACTTCAAGGGCACTGTTGAGCATGAAGACATCAGTGGCCCATGGGAACAGAGACACATCTGGAGAGGCCAAGTGCCCTGTTCCCACAGGATCACTTCATTATGGATGGCCATAGTGCACTCCAGGGACTGCATGAAGAAGCAGTTTGATTTGATGAGCCTCACACTTCCTGAGAAGCTGAGTTTTTGCTTCTAATGGCTTCTTTTGCCCTATTATTGATCCTCCTTTGAGTTCTGCAAGTAGAGGTAGCAGCAAAGTGTTACCCTTCCAAGGGAATATTTGCATTTTAAAATACATCTGAACTACAAAGGTTGAAAATCTACTGAAATAGAATTGGAAAGCAACAAACAGTAAATCTATGCCCTCATCAAACTGAATCCTGAAGTGCCCTTCCACCTTGGAGTCCTTTTTCATGAATACCTTTGTTCTCATGCTGGAGGTGAGCTCCCTTCAAGGCTGAGGTCAACACTTGGTTCAAAGGTTCTCTAGTCTCCTTTGCAGAGCTGAGACAAAGTGGGGCATTCAGAAGCTTTTACAAAGCTCTGAGTAGAAACACAGAGGAAAGAGAGAGGCAGCAAGAAACAGAAAAATATTTCAGCTAACAAAAGATAGTTTTCATTCTTCCCAGTAAAAATGCTCCTCCGAGGCTGGTGAGTGACTTCTGGTGTTACAGAAGACGATGAAGGACCCAAATGCCCCATTCCTGAAGAATATTCAGCCCTCCTACACCTCCAGGTGTCCTGCAGGATAGCAGCCATTGATTTAGTTCCTGATTTATATGCACCTGTCCGTGAGGATGATTTGGGTATTTTGGCCTTTCTGAAATCTGATAAGATACCAGGCCATGCCTGAACTGGACAGTGCCGCTACCCAAAGCAGGGCGTGATTGAGCCCTAGCTAGGTCTGATGACTTAGTCGATTTGCATATGGTCTCTATGCTATGAGCAGTAGCCACTTTCAGAAGCAGCAGCACTCAAACAGTGTGCCAACACAAGGCACTGACTAATGGGAGTGGGTGGAGACAGACTCTGCACATGCTTGGAATGTTAAGAGAAGGAGAGAAAAAGAGGTGCGATTGAGAAGGTCTGCTGAGTGGTACAAGGAGTCCTCAACAGAGGGTTCAAAGCCGACACAAGTGCCTGACTTCATTCCAGGAGAGGGAGGGCTCATGTCAGAGGAGTGCCTTTGAGTCCTTAAAAGATTCATCTACAAAGATAATGAATTTCTCTGTTCAGAGAATAGCATTAAGGCCAACAGATAAAAACGGAATATGAGAAAACGTTTTAATGCACATCTGACCAGTGTTTGGAGAGGCTGTCTTTCAAAGATATAAAGTCATGGAGTATTAGAAGACAAGAAAGTTCTTATGGGAAAGATTAGAGCTTATCTGTTTGGAATCCCATGCCCTCCATCTGAGGGGTAAAGCGACAGCCCCCGGCCAGAGCCCTGATTTTTTGCTCTCTCCCTGTCTCCTCACACTGTCTCCCTCCCCGAGTAACCTCAGCAAACAGAGGCCAGATTCTGTGTGACATTGGGAGATAATAAGGGAATCTATTATTCAGGTAGGAGGTTGGCACATATGAGCTCTGAAGGACTTTATCACTCTGAAAATCTGTGTTCTGTGATTTTATGGAATCATAAGTGGGCACCCTAGCCTTGAGGCTTGTCACCTTCCCCACGCCATCACAGATTCTGCTTCCTTATCTCTTTGAGCCACATAATAACTGTCTAGGTTTATTCATGTGCCTGCACTAAGTCTTGTAACTGAAATAAATCAACCCTACCCTAGAAAGTCCTTGTGAGAAAGAACACCTGCTAAGGATCCAGGCTAGTACACTGTCTTAGTCTGAGCAGTAAAGCAGCTCACTCAGTGCATGGAAGCACAGTAAATAGTAAAAATATTTGCTAACAGAGGCTGCATACCTGCATCCCAGGCATCATTCTGAAGATGTTGTATTATCTCACTTTATGTTTATAACTGTATAAGAAAGAAGAGCTATCACGGCTGCAATTTACAATGAAGAAACTCATGTAAAGAGTATAAAGAAGCATCAAGTCATAGTTATACATCTAGTAAGAAGCAAACAGGTTAAAAAGCTGTGCATTTCCAAACTCTGGACCGTATGATCATAAATGGCCATACCTCCCAATAAGACTCAAGACCCTTTCCCCTTCCCGCCCCCAGGCCTCTGCATGCACTTTTGCAGTTGCCCTTATAGATGTTCTTTACCTCTCAGCTTTATATATATGTGTGTGTATTTGTTGTTGTTGTTTCTCAACATGCTATCTCCAAAATACCTATACAAAAGAGAATGGATATGTTTTCCACTTGAATTCCTGTCATCTCTGCTTCCCTTTTATGACAGTATTGTCAAATTTC